CTCCCACGAGCTGCACCAAGAAATGTCTGCAACCCCCCGGGGCTTTGTCTCTGTCTTCATGGTGTCTTACCTTCTGAGATGTCTCCTCTTCCTGGGTCGATGAATGCACAGGTGGTGATCGGAGATGTGAGGCTAGGACGTGCTGAGTCACACCGTGGGCTTCTCTTGTTCTGGATGTCCTGCATGTGAATACACACACAGGAACACAGATATGCCAACACATGTACACGTATCAATGCAATGCTCTTTGCCCCTGCCCACACATACCTTTACACATGGACACAATGGATGCATGTACACACAGATATGTGTAGTCATCTATATATACATATGTTAACATATACATTCAATGCCCCTCAGTGGCACAATAAGGAAGCTTCCAGTTGCTTGTCCAAAACCTGGCTGTTTGAATCCTCTGAGGGCCGACTTGATGGTTGGCTCCTATAATGGGGATAACCCAGAAACACTAAGAGGAGCAGTTCTTCTGTATCGCACCCGGTGGTTGACTTGACCACCGGTTGAGTTGGTCAACCAACAACACAACAACACACACAAGCACACATGTGGTCTACACACACATCCATATATATGCACATACTAACACACACACATATTTAAACAAGCGCTTTAAAAGTTTGTGGGGAAATTCCACTCTCTGAATTCCCCTCGTAGACAAATCGCTCGCACACCTGTGGGTGTGCATGTGGAGCTCTCCCTTTGCAGTGCTGGAAGACTGGCAAACAAACCTGGCCAGTACACTCCGGGGCTTCACAGAGTCTGTGGGAAGGCTCCTTCTCTTTCCGTCATATTTTTCCAAGAACTGTTCTGCTTTAATTTGGGAACCTGATTGGCCAGTCTTTTACAGAAAATGTAAAGGAGTAGCTCATACATGTGTCTGAGCCTGTGTATATATTTGTACGTGAGGACTTAAAAGTTCATGGGAAAATTCTATTCTCATTTCGTCCCATTTGTCAGCAACCTTTTTCATGCTTCCTTGTACTATAATGTAAAAACCGTGTGTGTGTGTGTGTGTGTGTGTGTGTGTGTTTACCACAAACACATATAAACATTTTCTTCCATATATATCCAAGTTTAAACCATGCGACCAGTCCAGGTCCCCTGACCCACATTTCCATAACCCATATTGAACAAGTAACAATATATGCCCACTCTTATCAAAGTTACCTTTTAAACAGATTTTTGCATTTTGGAGGGACTGCATTGGGAGAGTGGTCTGCTTTGACTGAATTTGCAAACTCTGGTTTCCTGAGGTTCCGGGGCCTGCACGGGCCTCGGAGCCTTCCAGCTCAACCCTCTGTGCATTCTGGCATGCCTTCCCAAGAAAGCAGAGCTCCGGGTACCACATCCCGATGCCCGGCCACCCCGAACCAAACTCACCCTGATTGTCTCCGTTTGACTTCTTTAAGCAACGTGAAGATTCTTCTGGGTTCCTGTGATTTGGGGTTTTGCAGCCCGACTGCCCTAGCCAGTGTCTGCATGGGGCAATGCACTAATCTGGATGTTTCTCTTTGTGTGTGCACCCATGCAGTGTTGTTTACCAGGATGGATTTTATGGTGCAGATATTTATGTAAGTATTCCTGAATGTGCATGCCACCTTTGTTTCTTCCTGGAGTCATCCTTGTGACAAGTTTGCAGCGCATCTCTCAGTGGGGTCCTGTGAGCTGCCCTCCGAGCCCAGAGCTCCTGCCAGGGGGCGAATGACCTGCTCTGGGGAGTCCTCGTGTGATGTGCCGCGAGTACAGCTCGCTCCTTGATCGATGACCATCACGTGGAATGCACCCCTACCGCCACCCCCCAAAAAGGGAAGGTCTTTTCCCGTGACACACACAAGAGATTCTCACTAAAGTGAGCAGGACGCCTCTTGTGTTTTCCATGAACGATTTAAAACAACTGTGGAGGGTTAAAAGGTATTTTCATGGCTAATGTTTTTGATGTTTTCCTTACCAGACATGCGATGATTTATTTATAACAATTATCCTCAGAGGGTCAGTCTCTCTCTCTCTCTCTCTCTCTCTCTC